CAGTGGGATCAGATTAGGCGAGCAATGCATTCCGCAGCGAATGTTGCTTGTGGGTTTGAGCCTCAAACCCATCGGAGGCATTGGATATCTCAGGAGTCAGATGCAGCAAAAAGGGCAAGTCCCGACCTGCCAGGATCAAAATACAGTTAGGCGGCAGCTACAACGTCGGCTCACGAAGAATCTCAAGAAGGACCGTGAGAACTGGTGAGCAACAATAGCTAGTGAAATGTAAATAGCAGCCGCATCAGGGAATAGTCAAAGACTGTTCCGGCTGATACGCAACACGGGAGGTCGGCGAAGCCCAGTTAGTGAAACAGTCTGCGATAAGACGGGACGAGCTATTCACAATAGGGATCAACGACTCGATGGCTGGACAGAATACTTCAGTGAACAGTTCAGTTGGCCTAGTGCTAACCGGGCTGCTTCATCTCTGACTGAAGCTCCGTGGGCAGTGTCATGCGATCCTCAAACGGAAGCAGAAGTTCGGTCTTGCATTTAAGCTCTGAAGCGAGGAAAGGCAGCAGGACCGGATGAGCTCCCTCCCACTCTTTTCAAGATGGGAGGTGATTACCTCGTAACCTCTATTACTACCCTACTGCGCAACATTTGGACGCAAGAGCACATTTCTTCATCTTGCGGCGAATCACTAATCGTTCCCATTTTTAAGAAAGAATCCCGCAACGATTGCGAAAACCACCGCGGGATAAGTTTGATCCTGATCGTCACCAAAGTGATATACTTCGACGTCTGACGCCTTTAAGAGAGACTAACATCCGTGAACAGCAAGCCGGATTCCAGCCTGGCCGTGGATGTATTGATCAGACTTTTTCACTGCGTCAGCTCCTTGAGCTGCATCATACACACCGTCGGCCAACGATCGCAGTGTTCCTTGACATGAAAGGAGCCTCCGACTCAGTTAATTGCGAAGCTCTGATGGGCTGCCTTCTTCGAAAAGGAATGCCCTAGAGGTCACTGTACTCACATACCTCTGATCGTGTAAGGGTATACAACGAACTAAGTAGGCTGTTCGTCACCAGCAGCGGCGCTCGTCAAGGGTGCCCTCTCTCGCCGTAGACGAAATACTGGAGAGCGCACTAAGGGGACTCCAAAACGTAGGTATTGATGGGCAGCTGGAGAAAAGCTATGCGATTGGAGTACGCCGATGACATCGTCTGGCTGTTCGAATTTATGGAGGGCGCGTAAAGTGCACTTGATAGATTAACAAGTGCAGTGGCCACATTCTATATGTGCTTTGCACCTTCAAAGTGCAAAGTGATGCTGCAGGACTGGGTTTCGTCTACTCCCACTCTGACACTAAATGGCCAGGATTTAGTTGTGGTGGATTACTTTCCCTACTTAGGCAGTTGCGTGACCAATGACGGTAGTGCAGTAAAGGAGATAACCGCCCGCATTTCCAAGGCTCGAGCAGCATACGCAGGACTGAAACACCTTTGGAGTAGGTAGAGTAGGTGTCTCTCGCCTTCCAGGTTGGGGTCCGAAAGACTCCACAACTGGTTGGTTGGAGACATTTATGCATATGGCAGCGAACCGGCAGCAGTGGTGTTCTTGTTGTCGTTTCTTATCAGGTCAGAATGCTTGAAACGGTATGTATGCAGAGTTCGATTGCGTACTCTGTGTTGGCCACAATGGCTCATCTTCTTCTCCCTCCCTCAAAATAGATCCAATCCCTGTCCAACCCTAATTTTACCACTAACCTTGTATGCATTGCGAGTTTGGCAGCGATCAGTGAAGTCCGCTTCACTGTATTTCACTGTACGATGATGATGACTTGTTTTCAATCGTTTACGGGATCGCGGTCTTCCTTTATATGCTACTACTCTAGATTGTTCCGGAAATTCCACGAGATTTCAATTACTGCTACGGAACAAAAGTGTATTAACTGATAAAGGAGAGTACAAGTATTTAAAACCAAACCAGTTATTTGTAAAAAGAAACAAAAACATTTGCCAAATAGATTCCATCAACACAAATGGTTCAGCGAACAAAGAGGGCTTGCATTGGCGGGAAAAATTGAGTCGTTAGGAGCCATTAAAACCGGTTTCTCGTTTGTGAACAAACTTCCGGATAGAAACAAAGTCACTTATGGCGTTTAGCGTCTCAGATATTAGGTAATGCAATTTCACATGAATGCCTATGCAAAAATGACAAAGAGAACAGGAAACGGACCGCTGTAAAGATCCTACCGGTAAGTTGATACTAAGGACACTTCGAGTTATTTATGCGAGATTTTGTACACATCCATTAGCTTCTGAAAACGGAATAGAGATAAAATAAAAAATGGATAATACGTTCTGCTCTTTTCCTAGTCATTCATAGAATTCCTCTTATTGAAACCATCAAAACTCGGTCTTGGTGTCCAGTCTGCTGAGATAAGAAGTATTAAACTAATACAATATTACTACTGCTACAAAATAATCACACTGATTCTTCGTAAAATTACTCCCTGAGATGCAAATAAGCTATCGAAACTCACCAGTGCGTGACGAGGTAGTGCAACTAACCTCGCAAACAGTACGCGGACGAAAATTACTGTACAAACTTAAGCCATACCACTGTAAGCGAAGCAGATCGAAAAGTATCGGAAGATTCTTGTGTCGATGACTGTTGAAAACATTGTTTTTCACCAAAGTCGACTCAGTGAAGCGTGACGAACAACCGAGAAGCGGTGGCAACTGTATACTGTCTAAATGACCGTCGTTATTGTGTCCGATGTTGTATCACAAATCGATTGGAATAAGTTGAAACGATTTCCCCTTGCCGAGTTCATCAACTGTTTGTGTGATGTGGTCAACAAGAAACAAATAAGTACAATGAGATAGATATATAACACAATGGAGGACTTCCGGGGCGTTTCGATCAGCAAGCCATTCTTTGATCGATTATTAGGTTATCTCAGATCAGAGGATCGCGTTGTCTATTGCATCGAGCGGAGTGGGTGGTGATAAGTGAACTTCTGCTCCAGAGACCCCAACCTTTGTCTTTAATACCCTCTTGTGAAAAACAGAGGAATTAGTTTAATCAACATTGCTTCTAAACATCGCTCGCCGTGGCAACCTATCTGGTGACATGCTTAACATATGCTCCAACCAACGTAATTTATGGAAGTCGACCACTTGCTCCAGTGGGCGACCGCGGTTACCCAGAACGCTGCGCCCAACGTCAGCATTGCTCGTCCAGCTGCCCCGCAGATTCGCGCAACGCTGCTTAGACAGCGGTGTTCAAACACCGACAGTCTATCTTTGTCCTGTTTTCTTAATGGCCAAGTAGGTAGGTAGTGGGTGGAATAAAACCAAGGGTGGTCAAGCTGAGACCTGGCACGAAGGTATGAAAACCATAACCAGGAAACTAGGTCACACAGGTCCTGTTAGGCTCCCTGGTTGGGGACCTCGGGATGATCGTAACCGATGGTTAGAGACACTGAGTGATATGGCTGTGTCGTAAACAATGGCGTTCGTGCATCTCAGTCATAGTGTACTGGAGTTCTCAATTTTCTGCTTGACTCTACTTTAATCCTTGCTGTCTTTCTCTCACTGCTTCAGCCAAAAGACAGCAAACAAAGCTGGCGCACAAAACTACATGGTTAATGGTTGTACAAACTGAAACTTTAATATCCAACCCCCATCTTTTGAACCTTCTTCCGAACCATGCCATCCCATTCGTCAACTCGTTTGCCCCTCACTACGGGGCATTGCCAAATAGCACTGTAAGTAGCTTATCACAAAATAATTTACATATTCTGAAGCTCCATCAACCTCTCAAACTCGGTGCCTTCAACGTGAGGACTCTGATGCAGGTAGATCAGCAAGCGTATCTGGCGTGTACAATGGACTCTTTGGAAATCGATATCTACTATGCATCGGAGACACGAATTCAGGATGCTAGTAGCATACTCCATCTGAGTGCACCGGGTCTGTCCTTGAGTCAATCTTCCTGTGCACATCTTTGGGTCGGCGGGATGTAGGAATCGTACTAAGTGATAAACCTTGGGCTTGGCTGATAGATTGAATACCGGTCAACAGTCACTTATACACGATGCGGCTCCAAGAGTCGATCAGCTTCCGGAAGGGGAGCAACAACGTTTGTTTGTCATGTTAGCGCCTGCATTGACCAAGTGCAGCACTGAGGCGCAAAAAGACAAGTTATACAATCAACTCACCGAACACATTCGGTGGAGTCGAAACTCCGACACAGCTGTTTGCAGGTGATTTTAACGCGTATATTGGAAAACTGGCCGCATCGGAAGCTTGCCTAGGCGATCGTTGCGCTCTACTGTGCCAACTAACATTTTGACTTCTTCAGTTTTGCGCAGGTCACCATCTGTTAAAATCCGGTACCAACTTCCGACACAGCCCAGGACAACAACGTGGCGATCCAATTCAACTGGTACACTCACTCAAATCGACCATAAAGCAGTAAGCTGTGTTGAATTTGATCAAGTATCTAATATATATATATATATATATATATATATATATATAGTAGCATCTAACCCACCTACAAAACATCGAACCATAGCATTGATTTTTCAACGGACTTGCTCTGAAAGAGCTGTCTATCTGAAAGTCACCCGGTGTTGCAAACAAGGTTACCGTGACGAAAAATACACTTCCTAGGTACAAGTATACGAATGAAGTGACAAAAGATTA